CTAAATTTTTTCTTTAAATTTTTTTCACTTATATAATACGAGACGATAAAAAATGTCAGTAGTAATATTTTTTGGTATTGCTCGGTTTTGAAAATTAAAAAGAAATTTATCTACAAAATTGAATATATGCCATGCACCATTGAATGGCATTGGCTGTCTGGTACGCCTCAGGGCGGGTCTTCGATGAAGACCACGATAAGATGGTCGAAAAGTCGGCGACACAGCCTTCAACACGGCGTCACCAGGACAGCCAAGATCATTCACATGACTCCGACCGCGGAAGCCTACGACTTCAATTGTCACCATTCCCGTTACCTTGGACGCAATTACATTCGGAGAATATACTTCATAATCGTAAAGAAATCCAAATTGTGACCATGTTACTGAGTAACAATGCATTTAATAATTAAATTTGTTCTAAAAATTGGTTGTCCAGACCGGAATTTGGTCCGGACCAGGACCGGTCACAATTTGGATTTCTTTACAATTCCGGAATATATTCTCCGAACATAATTGCGTCCAATAATGATACATTCAAAGAGCGATAATCGCGCTAATGAAAACTGTTCAAAGGATTTGTTGTCTCAGATTCTTAGGAGTTAGAGCAGCTGGGCGTAAACCAGAAGTCCCGGGTTCAAATTCCGGTCTGGGCAACCAATTCTTTGAACAAATTTAATTACAAAATTGAAGTTAGAGATTTTTGCCTCAGGCAAAGACTATTGTACATAATAAGTTCTTCAAAAAAGGCCATGTACAAGTTTTTGAAGAAACGAATTGTTTTTGCGTATTTTGCGATTGAAATTTACAACAACAAAAATTCTCAAAAGTCTCCAAATTTTTTAAAATATTTTCCCCACACATGTAATAAGAGACGGTAAGAAATATTGCGCTAGTTTAACTTTCGAGTATTTTTAGTTTTTTTCGAAAATTGCGAAAAGGAACTGCAATGAAAAATTGCTAATAGGTATTACATAACCGTTACTAAGGGGCGAGGAAGTATGTGCTGTTGTAGCACCATTACTTTTCTTTAAAGTGGCTCCATAGTTTTTGATAAAATATTAGTGGATAGTCTCAAGGACGTTTAAGGTAATTGTGTTGGTCTCATGTTGATTGAATACCTTTATTTTTTGAATATTGAAAAAATTCAAAATCTTTTCAGCGTCTTCTTCTTCTTCAAAAATTTGGAAATTTCGACAGGTTTGAAATTTTTTGGAAATTTGAGTATTATTTGCGTGAAAATATGGCGAGAAAGTACATGTTTTTTAGCGCCATTAGTTATTTGCACGTTTCACGAGAAGTTAAAAATAATAGTTTCTGAAAATTTTTTGAGAGGGGGTAATTTCCCTCATTTTCCGCTCCTGCTAAAGATAACAATAAAACGTTTGATGAATTGAAAGAACAGCTATGAAAGTTTGAAAGAAATTTCACAAAAAGTAGTGAAAAAGTCGAACAAGAAGCATTAGTAGCACAATCAAGTTCATAAGGTAAAGAGACTAAAAAGAAGTTTAAAAATAAAGGTATAAGACAGGCACCTGAAACTTGCGGAGAGGCATTTAAACGTGAAGATAGTGTTGAATGGAGAAAAGTAAAGGACAAAGAGATGGATTCATTGATGCAAAATTAAACTAGGAAACTTGAAAATTTTTCTGAAAGGTGATGAGACAATACCGTGTGAATGGGTTTTCCGGCTGCAGACAAACGCAGGTGGAAGTGTAGACACTTATAAAGCTCGACTTGTCAAAGGTTTTAATCAGCGTCAAGGTGTTGACTACTCACAAACATTTACCCCAGTTTCAAAGATGACAACTATTCGATCCATTTTGAGTGTTGCTGCTAGTAAAGGCACGCATCATACACAATTTGATGTATCAACAGCCTTCCTATACGGAGAACTCGAAGAGACTATTTATATGGCACAACCAAGATGATATTGAAGATGGCACCAACATAATCTGTAAATTAAAAAGGAGTTTATATGGTTTGCAACAAGCTCCAAGGTGCTGTAAAAAGCGCTTTGAAAACTTTTTGATTGCTCTTGGTTTTAAAGTGAGTCAAGCAGATCCATGCCTTTATATTAAAAATTAAAAAGTCAGAGAGCTAATAGTAGTTCTATATGTGGACGATGGGTTAGCGGCAGCTACTGATGAGGATGACTTGATGTTTTTTGAAGAATTGAAAGCACAGTTCTAAGTCACAACAGTAGCTGCGACGTACTTTCTGGGTTCATAAATTAAACAAGACAAGATTGCTGGTATCAAAATTCATCGGAAGACAAATGCCAAATACATCTTGAAGCGTTTCAATTTTGCCGAGTGTAAAACTGTGTCTGCTCCAGTGTTGAAAGTTGCAGATGTTTTACTACCAGGAAAAGATTCTGAAGCATCAAAGTTTCCATATAGAGAAGATGTCGGAGTATTAATATACCTAATGCTTGGCACTAGACCTCATTTGGCTTTTGCTGTTAGTGTCTTGTCAAGATCACTTGAAAATCTCAAAACTGAAGATATAATAAGACTGAAACGTTTTTTTCGTTATCTGGCAGGAACAATTGACTACGGAATTTTATACAAATCAGAGAAAGGTGAAACCTTTCTGTTCGAAGACAGGTCGATCAAATCCGGAGTTATCCATTATGCAGAATCATCTATTTCATGGTTAAGTCAGAGACATGCTATGAGGGCAATGTCTACAATTGAAGCTGAAATGGTTGCTGTAAATGAAGCTGTAAAGGATATCATATGGTTAACTCAGTTATTCAGTGACGTTATCAAGTTGTCGCAAGTTCCAGTTTCCAAAACGTTTGAAGATTTTGTGCAATAAGATGGGCCTCTTGTAATACCGTTTTTGTAATTTTCATTTAACAAGGAAAAGTGTTAAAGTAATGATCAGTATAGTGTTACAAGAAAATGAACACTTGTAAGGTTGGTAGACATTTAACATAAAAAAGTTTCAAGTTCTTTGAAAGCAGAAGTAATCTTATAGAAATACCGAGTCTAATGCCAAAACAAACTAACCAATACCTGTTCATCATTTCTGAAATTATTAAAATACTTACGTCCAAGAGTATACAGATAGTAAGTAGTCTTTACACATTGGAAGGAAGAACCAAATTATTTGATTTCAAGTACGGCCTTTTGTTTACTACATTTAAAAGGGCCTTCCAGGATAAACTGAAATATTTCGATTTGAATTCCCACCTCCCGCTTGAAAAAACATCTGAAAACAAAGTAGTCGCACGACGCGCGTGCTTGCAACACAAATTACATCGTATACGGACAAGCAACCACGGGTCGCAGAACGCACGTGGTTGGCAAAGAGTGACGTCGATGCTAGTCTTGGCTGGCCGATAGCAAACGCCGAGCTGTGACGTCACCGCAAGGCATTCTTGAGGGTTGGGGAATTGTGTTTCTAGGGTGGTGATAGTAAATTCCAGTAAGTTCACCCCGCGCGTAATGGGTGCGTTACTGGAGGTAGAGGGGGTATTGAAAATTCTCCAAATTTGCGTTACATTATTTATGCGTTATTTATGGATGGCCCCATTTGAGAAAATATTGTGTTTAATACTTACTAATATTAATCAAAATTGTTAGAAAACTACTAAGATTTTCAAAACAATTTACAGGACATGAAAGAATGATGTGACAATGTGATGAACAATGTGACAATTTTAGAAAAGGGCTTTATGTGAAGTTCCCTGAAATTTTAATTTTTTTATTGAAAATCGCAGGATTTTATTTCATTATTTAATATTCATTTTGACAAAATTCCTACAAATAGTCAAAATGCTAGTTTGTTCACAGACAGATGGACGAACTGACAGGCGGGCATTTTGAAGGAAAAAAGAACAACCCATTTTTGGTATCAGGAGACCCCAAAAATGTATTTTAAATTCTACTTATATTTAAAAAACACACACACACACAAAAAAGGCTTGACATTACTTAAAGATTTAATTTTGAAGAACAGGTTTCATTGATGAAAAACTATTTCTTATCTTCAATAAAGTAGTTGTGTGATTGGTCCTAAACATTCTAACTACTGCAAATTTAAAAAATGATGAGGAAACAGTGAAAATTGGACCTGTTCCATTTTGGTATGTGTATGTGTTGTCTGTAAGTATATATCACTCTATTCTTACAAGGAAGTCAAAGAAAATATTGGTGCGATTTTTGAAGCTTATTTGGAAAACATTTAGGGGCTTCATGTGAAGTACACATGAAATACAAAGAATTTGTTTCAAAATCACAGGGTCTCAAGTGAGGGCAGGTCAACCAGGAAATACTAAATTTGAAAAATATCCAGTGAATGATTTAGGTGCTAGCACAGATAAAAAGTTTTAAAAAATTTAAAAAGACAACTCTTTTCCGGTATCTGGGGACCCCAAAATATATATTAAAATTAATTTTTTGATTAGTTATTAATTTATTAATTAGTTAATAATGTATTGAATAGTAATTAATTTATTAATTAGTTATTAACTAATAATTACAATTTTGATTTTGTGCATTACATAAATCACTGTAATACTTGTACATTATTCTGTATATAGATATGTATAAGAGAAAGGTAAAAGAAATGTTCAAACTAGAAACATTAGCACAAATTGATCTATATGATGACAAATCAAATAAACTCTAGGTTAAAATCTAAAGATATTGAAAACTTTGATGTGACTTAATTGTCAAACTTACAAGTGATCTTGTAAACTAACTGAATGTAGGCAAAGGTATATTGAATGTGAAGGATGCAGAAAAAATTGAGTTTGTACAGATTAGTACAAGTGTTGCTACAAAAAATGTCCACACACTTATTTGTAAGATACTTACACGAGCCCATTCAAACCTGAAATATAAGGAGACCTCAGTAAAGAAACTGAAGAAGGCACTGAAAAGAAATGTTCTTATCTTAAGAAAGCAGGACATTAAAAACCAATTAAGATGAAATAGGAATACCCTCTTGTACACAATCATTTTATGGGGAATGTGTAAAGAAACAGACAATATCAATATACTCATATATATATTTTATGTGTATATATACAATTATACATATGTGATGTGGATGTTATAATCCATGTGCTTATGATGTAAATGTACAATTTATATTTATGGGTGCCAAAATTCACATTTTAGAGAGTTTTCTGACAGAACTCACTCCCAAAATGTTACCAGATATCTTGGAATAAATTCTACACAATGTTACTATCTGACAGGCATCACTCAAAATATATTGATGTTGTGAGCAGCAAAAATTATCTGACTGAGAAGCTTATACTTACATATGAAGCTTGCAGATACTTTTGAATCTTCAATGTTACATATATAACAAATTAAACTGCACATTTACTTCAAGATATCTGACTGCTGAAATCAACACTTAGGTATTAGGCATTAACGATATATATGAGAGGATACAAACATTTCTTTCAACAACAATCAACATGCAACTTTCATATATGATTTAACAGGACCCAACTAGATAATTAATACACATTTCTGATTATCCATAGCCTGAAATACCTTTAAACTCTTTATATATATATATATCACATTCATTTAAAACCTCCACAACTGACCAGCAAAATAATTTTACATTCATCCAATCACTGTCACTGGATGATTAAGGAGGATACGAGATATTATGTGCAAAAAATGTGTGGGAACAATTGGTACAGGAATATTCTTTTACTCACCGTCCTGTGTCTTGTTATTTTATAAGGTTTGTATTTTTCATTATCTTCAACATTGAAATAAGATTTTAAGACTCTTGTTAAAATCAGATTTAGAATTATTTATCTGATATATGACAGAAAATATTGCATATATTGTAAATATGCCTCTAACAATATTCAATGTATATTGAAAAATAGTATTTGGAAGGCTTCTCAGAATATAACTTCCTGTAAAAGTGCAAAGGGTACTAAAATCATAATTTATGTACGTATAAAGGACAAAAATATTCGTGTATTAATATGTATATAAAATTGTTATGATTTGGTTTTCATTGAGGATTACTATCATGATTAGTGTGAAAATATATAAACCTCTTTCTTCATAATATTATATATTAGCTTTTACAAGTAAGAGTATGCAAGCACTTATAACATGAACGTTTCTTTTAACATTTATGAGAACATTAAGCATCTGGAAATTTGACACAATTTTATTGTGTTCTAGGGTAGACTTACCATGTAATGCCATTAAATTAATGTATTTGATGATTAATATGTACAAGTAAATTTTATGTAAGTGCATTGAAATAAGATCACCAGATAGTACATGACAAGTTGCAAAAATAATTTGATGAGCAGTGGTCCCAAAATTATTTTAAACCACAATTCACTGAGTGGAGAACCAATGCCATCTGTAATCAAATTTACCCTGGTCCTATCCCTGTACTTCCAATGTTACAAATCTTACATGTATCTTATCTGAGCATTCATTGTAAGTTTGTTTCTAACAATCTGACATTACCTTCAGTTCAAAGAAACATCAAGAATATAATTTAAAATTATTTTGTAAACATTTAAGAATCCTAAAACTTATATTCAAATGTGGAAGAGATAATAATATTTGTGAAAGTGAAAAAAGTAATAATTAAATTAATAAGCAGCTTTCAGTATGCAGTATTGGAAGGAGTATTAAAAAAATTAAGCTGTTAATTTAAATTTTGAATTCCAAACAATTTTATACAACAAATTATTTTTTCTAGTAATGGCAGATATACTGTTGGAAAATTGAAGTTTTCCATTCTAGAAGCATATTATATTGTTGCTGCTGAAACCAAAATTTAATGTATCATTAACAAATAATAAACTAATAAGCTCAATCCACAATCATTCTTCATTTTAAATTAAAGAAATGATATATCTGTTTCTATATTTACAACTGAATTAATTGTTTATTATATAGCATAATTCTAAAAGAAACTATGTAAATACCATAGAATAATTTCATATGGAATGTATTTAATAACATTTTTCTCCAGTTTCTTTTTATAATGCAGATGTGTAGAAGACCAATAAGAAAGAAAAGTACTGCTGAGATGAGCTTCATTTGTCGTTTCTATACTTATATAACAACATGAATACACATAATGAGTACATGTGGTGAGATAACTAAATATATATTGTGATAAACTTACAATCTCATTTACCCCCTATTAAATTATTTTTAAACATAGAATTTTGAAGCATTAAAATGTGGGCCCTGCGTTTATTAGGAATGATACAAAAATATACAGTATATATTATATGCAAAATATGTGGAAACTTGTCTTTACCTAACCAAGTGTTCTGTTTGTGAGGGCAACACAAGGCAAATCTGGTTGTGAACTGAGACTCGAACCAGAATATCTGAAAATGTGGTGTCAATTCCTTACGTGGTCCATCTTCATAAGGAATGAAGAAAATAAGGAATTATAATTACAGTAAGCTTGCTGTTTAAAAGAAATGGATAAAATGATAGAATGTCATGTACTTAAAGTTGACTACCATTTAAAAGAGAGCAAATGGAATGAAATAATATTGATTAAATATTTTTCAAATAATCTTAACGTAAATAGAGAATAAAAGTGTAATGTTGTTCCTGTACTGTAAATGGTTCTTCAAACTGATCCATTTTGACAAAAATGTTTTGAGAAAAAGTGTTACTATTTTCAGGAATTAGTCTTTTGTTTTCAGCAAGCTTCCAATAGTTTTAAAAAGTAATTCCCAGAAAATTCTTGATCAACTGATGATGTTTTAAAATTTTTTTAAGAAAATGGACAGTTAAACACAACAAAAATTTTATTTATGAGAAAAGGAGTTTTGTGACTTATAAAAAAGTTATCAGTGAGTATCATGAAAGAGATGTAAATATTATGCCTTTTAAAATTCAATATTTCAATTATTGTAGAATGCAAGCTGTGTTTCGATGATGATAATGGTGGAGCGGATAGGGACTGTCATTCCATTTGCTACCTGCTATGCCCATGGACGGAAGAGGGTGGATGTCGCTGGTGGAGGGGTTGTTGTTACTGTCCTGCCCCAGCAATTGCAGGGTGGAGCTATCAAAAACAGAGCGCTTTGAAGCAGCAAATAAATTACTTGATTTTGTCTCAAATGATGCATTAATGTTCCTGGATGTTCTCATGACTAATGGACGTGTCTGAGAGGGCAAAAGTGACTTCTGTGGGTTGTTGTTGGTGTCATGGTGAAAGAGATGGATGCACAAAGGACGTGTTGAGGACACAAGCTTATAATGAGGCAGCAAATTGATGTTTAAACTTGTGTTCCTACTGGCAGTATGTGCTGCTACAAGTGTTCTATTATAATTTTTAGATCCTGATGGTAAAGAATTTTTGTTGGCAATGCTCTTTTGGGCGTCTGTTTCAATACACGTTGGATTGTTGGTTGCTTCCAGGGAGGTGTGTTTGTAGCTTTTATATTTCATGCCTGTTGCTGGGAAAGAATTTTTGTTACTATTGTTCATGACATTCACAGCCACAAACGCTCGAGTGTTGTTCTTGATGTTAACATCCGCCACTGCGGAAGGTTGTTGTCACACTTCTTGCAAGAACTTCAAAGGACAGACACCTTGGCGATTGTCTCCAGCTCTGATCATAACCATACCATCCAACTCTTCTCCAACCTGTATTACTATCTGTTGGTAAGAGAATTTCAGTTTCAGAAAATGTTTATTTTTGTTAAAATTAAAATTGGGAGAAAATTTATGAGAGCAATGGTTACAATTTATATATGCAATTAGAAATTGAAAAAAATATTACCCTATATGTATTAGAAAGGTCAAATTAAATATTTACAGAAAAATTCCAATCCCACACATAAATACAACCAAAAACCATTCATCATAATAAAACAAACTGAGAAATTAATCATTGTTGAATGTCAGTATTATCCCTGACAAGATTTTACAAAGTCTTACCTGGAGTATCAAAATTTTAATTTAAAGAATACCTCACAAACCCTCAATCTAACACTGTTGATAAAAAAGGGGACAAATCAAACCTCCCTCTAGTGCACACAAGAAGCTTAGACCCTTACTTTTTACTTATTAGATGAAGAAAGACATCTCTCTTTCAGTTGGTCAAAAAATAGATTATGTACATTATTGCTTAAATGATGTTATCATTTGAATGACTTTTACTGTTACCTTGAAATAAGAATTTTCCAAGTTTACTCAAATTAATCTATCTCTGTGATCCCAAATATTTTGAATAAGCGAAATTGAGATTTTAAGAAATGACTATAAAGAATGAATTTGATTCATATTTGGTACCTGGTCTTTGAGCAACATGAGGCCACTATCTCCATCAGATACTTGCAAGTTGTGAGTCACTTGCAATGGACGTTCTCCAGGTGTCAACCGTACCACATATTTTGATGGAAAGAAGCCAACTCTACCCAAGCATTTACCTTTCCACCAATCAGCATCTGATGTATCTATTACTGTAACTTTGTACCCAGCCCTGAAATAAATGTGAATACTAATACACTTCAGTTTTTTAAATATATGTTTCAGATATATTAATGAATATTTGTTCTTACTTCAGATCTAGTTCATCTGGATGACGAGATTTGAAATTGTATAGCACCACATAAAGATTGGTAGGAAGTAAACGATGCGGCTTCTAAACAAAGATATAAGGGGAAAAGAACAATGAATTTTAACAGAGAGACTACACTAATTTAAAAATTAAAATTTCTTGAATAAAGAAACATCACACAGCTCAATAAAGAGACATTATATTAGCTTATTGATATTAATTCTCACAGTAATAAAAAATTAACTTGTGTATTGTTTCTTCTGTTAGAGCGAGAATATTGATGAATGTAACTTACTCTAAAGAAATGTTTGGCAGAAGCAATATTTCAACTGAATTTACTGAATTTTTTGATCCCAGTTTTTGGTGACAACAATAATGTTGTCTTATAATTTGGTTATTTCATTAGTGAAATAACCACAAAAGATAATAGGAATTCATAAATTAACTATGAATTTACATTTTCAAAACTGGACTTACATAAAAGGATATGGCAGATGATGTATGTTATGACTTTCTAAACATTTTAATTTACCATTCTCCTACATTTCATGTTCTGATACAATAACTGCAAATTTTTAAACAAAACCTAGAGATGAAAGAAAGGAAAAACTGTTTGAATACTTGCATGGCTCACCGGCGATGGACAAGGTGATGTACTTGCTGATGACAAAGATTTTTCAGTGTCGTCAGGCAGCTCAACTGATGACATTCTCATATTTCGGGCTGACAACAGTCTCCGATTATGTACAGGGCTTGAAGGGGCTGTAAATGTGAAAGAGAGTGAAAAAATATTCCATAGCGTTCAATAATGACATGCAAATGTAATTTAGCAACTGAGTGAAGCCTCAAGCTTTTATTGTAATTATCACAACCGAGAATCAAATTGAAAACATTTGTTAAAATATATAATAAAAATATTAATAAAATGATATAAGATTATATTATTTAAATATTTGAAACACTAATTTTTGGGAAAACAGAGAGGAAATTTCAAATGCTGAAAATATACTTCTATTTAGAAATATTACTCTTTAAATATTAAATGCTTTTGAAGTGCATTTATTTTTTAAATTCAGAATTCATTACAAATTATTCTGTCATATAAGTATTTTTTCAAAACACATGATATATTAAACAATTTCAGAATTTGTTTCTACTACACAAAATGGCACATAGTACAAAGAAAAAAGAGAATGCATCACAGTCCAAAAATCATGCAAATAATACAGTGCATGCAAGTAAAGCAACATCTTATGTAAAATAAAAAAGCAGTATAACAATGCAGAAAAATATTGAAAGTATCCATTGAGCAGAGCAACATTTAAAAGTTTCTCTTAATAAGTATATCACAAAATACACCATTTCTTGCAAACCAGAGAATGAAGAGAGGATTTTCAACCATTGGAGATTAAGTGTTAATTTAAATGTCCCAACAAATAAATACTGTAAATTAACTCACTGTTTCATTATTGGTGAGTGAATATATTTTTATAATTTAATATATCATAATCTTCTTTTGTACATCATGTTGGCGAGTACAGAAAAAGCTCATTTATTACCTTCCACATTTGTACCTTGTTACTAAATGAATAGTAAAAAGAGATTGTGTCATTATTACACCATGTTTGCACTGAACATGATTGGGAAATTTCATAAATGATCTCTTACCACTAATACAAACTTCTATATTCCAGATTATAAAAATATAGTTATACACAATTTTTTATTTTGATATTCCATCATGGAAATGTTGTTTACCCATTTAAATTTTTTCCCATTACAAATGTGCAAGGTATGACCCATGGGAAAGGGCTAAGAAGCCAGGGCAGACCCATACTTGACCAACAGCGGCCGTTGTGTACGAAGACTGTTCGATGCTGACCCACTGCTGAAGAACGTGCAGGGACTTCCTGAGAACCTATGCAGACACACCCTCTGTAGCCTAAAGCTGAGTGAGATGGTCACCATCCCAAACTTACTCACCAGAGAATGGGAATGTATCTTGAATACATATTCAAAACAAAAATTTATAGAAATTTTGCTTCAAAAAATTGCTCTGATGCATTTATTTCTTGTACAAATAATGTTAATTTGTTCCCCTCTACTATAAAGCCCCATAAAGTTTTGAAGTAGTACCATATAGCGAAGTTTGGTTACAACATACAATATTATATCTACAACTGATAGATCTTGCACAACTTGAAAATCCATTCAAAGCCCATAAAGTTATATTTAATAATGGAATTAGATTATGAAGTGAGTTATTTATACCAATGATTGTTGCTTAACTTTCATTGCAGAAAATGTATAAGTAAAAATAACTGTTATTGTAAATTAATTAATTTTTTTCTCTCAGAAATATCTTGTTTACATACATAAGAATTTAAATGAAAGAAAATATACATACTACACTTTCTGCAATGTCAAGATGGCACAATGCACTATACAATCATGAGAACACATGTAAAAGAGGTATGTGGATTTTTGACATGTGAAAGTGTGCAGCAAAATAAATTAATAAACTGAAACTGAAATCACAGGAGATATTGATATCATGACAGTTTTCTACTCCACTTCTTGAAAGAGCACACTAAAGCTATAAGGAGAGATCAATACCATAGATCAAGAAATGCTAAAAGTAAAACAGAGATGAAATAGACAGCTGAGTTTGTGAATCGCTTATTTCTGTGCTTTTGCTGGCCTATATTTGGTTCATATGCCTTCATTTGAGCATTTATAGAAGTGCTTTTTGAATGTGTGTCATCATGTTACAGAGAATTGTTAAAAGAGCTGCACCTAATTAATACTGGCAGTGTAGAACAAAATATTTATTCGTCCTGTGCATGACAACAAGTCAATTAAATGTTTTTCCATTGAATTGCTCAGTATCAAGAGATTTATGTGAAAGGGCTAAACTAATCAATAAATACTGTGTGTTTATGACACCATCCAATAAGAAATAAAGATTCAAAAAAATTATTACAAAATATATAATTTTCTGCAATTAAAGTAGAATTTCAATTGTTTTTATTTTACTGATATGTACTATAATAAAATATACCTCAGACAAGCTACAATATGTAAACTATATGATTTTTTAACAATTACCATGGGATTATCAATTTAAGATTTGATTTAATTTAGATAAAATTCAATAACTGTTATGGTTACTTGCATATAACATAGATAAGAAATATTTTTAAGATTTACCAATTCACATTTTTGTCAATTTATTGCAATTTTATTATTTGGGATAATAAATGAGAACACTCTTAAAAATAATACTTTTAAAAATAATCAATATTTAGATAGCAACTTATGCAAATTAAAAAGTTATGAAAAAATTGCAACAGAAGTGAAAATTTGTAAGATTTGTTAATTAATTAATTAATTTATTTAGTATTACTATTATTCCCCTTCCTTTTTTGTCTTTTCTTTCTTTTTTTTATTTTTCCCTTCACAATTTTAACTCAATAGCTCAACAGACATTTTCCTCCAATAATTTACTAATGATATTCCAATATTATAAGCATTATGCACACAATGAGATTTGAAAAGTAAGTTCTACTTTGCATATGATGAATAAAATAGTATTCATCAAAGTTTTATTTGTTTGTTCTTATGAAGTCAGTTATCTGACATAAGTGCACAGAAACAGGCGTGACTTTTGTATAGATGCAACTAATTGATGCTAAATGCATTACTATACACAAATTGCAATCATTATGTTCAAACCCAAAATAAATGCAGAAGAAATATTCTTTATATACATGCTCTCATTGGCATATAGACATAACAAAAAATGTCAGGAGGTTGTGATAATATTTCTGTTATAAAAATAATTTGCTTTATTGTGGGTTTTCCATAAACCAATATTGACTCTCTAATATTAAACACATATGTTGCTCCTAATCTTGTACATGCGTAACAAACAACTTCTAAACTATCAATATTTCTAAAATAAAAATATTCTTAAATTTTCCAGATGTATTTAAATTGATTCCACTACCTGTTTTGTTATGTTGTCAAGAGAGTTACTGCAACATATAAAAATGATGAAATATTATTATTGTTCATTTATTAGAGAGTCAATGTGCATAGGATGGGAATGCAGTGAAACAACACAGAGACATAAGCAAAAGGAGTGAATGATCAAGCAAATGAATGACAGGCAGCCTCTTTACACTGGATACGCGATGATGATGAATGGCTGCTTTGGGGGTCCAAGCATGTGGACTGAGCAGCATGACGTCTTCGCTGAGCATGTTCTGTTGATTCTGGTGAATCTAGTGACAAACTTTTCATTCGTAGATTCAACTTCTGACGCCTTGGACTGTGAGGAGCTGCAGAAAAAAATAGACCAAAGGCACTGCCTTCATCTTTCTGGAGCAGTCTTCTTCTTTTTGTAGAAGTATTATAAATACTGGGCATTCAAGAATTTATGTTATTTGAGTGTTGAAAAAAAATTTTAAAAGTTTTTAAATTTTACATTAGTTTAATTATATATAAAGAAGAAATGTAGAAGAAACTGAATCTATTCACAATATGTGCCATAATTATATGCTATTCATAAAAGGAAGAGTGCATTATTGAATTAGCTGAATTAGCCTTTCATATAAATTATTTTCCTCTTTTGTAGGCAATTTGTAATAAACATGCTACACAAATATTCAATTACACTTAAACAAACAGTACATAACAACATTCATTGGGATAATTCAGCAACATATCACAAGACAAGCCAGTATCAATCTTTCAGAAAGCACTCATATCGTTTCATTCTCTCAGCTACACTGCAAGCAGATCAACATTGATTTTGGCACATCTATGCATAAATAATGCCAATTTAGCTTAAGCTAGAAGCTGTTATTATTCTGCATTATCATTCTTTAATTCAAGAATGGAAATGTAGAGTAAAACTAAAATGTAAAACATTATTTTGGAAGCAAGATTTCATTTCTTATAAGCAGTTTGACCAATGAGGAGCTACTAATTCATAATATTCATCCAAGGATAATATCATTAATGAATTAACTCATACACTTTAGATTTATTGTGTAAATGTGGATTTCTTTCAACAAATATATACCAAGCCAAATTATAATCAATATTTAAATCATTATTTTCTAAATATTTTAAATGTGGTTTCTATTCTCCAAATATACATGAAGAATTTTAAGAATTTAAACAATCGAAGAAATAAACAGAATATTAATATTGTGTGCATGATAAATTCACTGTATAAAGCCAGCTTTTAATATCTCGTGAGTAATTAATGTAACCTCATTTTTTTTCACAAATAACTTTTCTTTATGATTGTTCTATGTGATTTTTGAAGCATATGCACAAATAAAGGGTACTAACAATCACATAACAAGGTAATTAAACTACACAAAGTGCACATTGATTGAGACTTCTGGCACAAAAAAGTATTAGACCACAAACATCACTTTAATCGATATAATGTTTTAAAGAAATTATAACTGTGTTTTTGCTAACAAGAAGAAATAGAGATAATTTAAATGTTAATGATAACAACTGATGAAATTCTTGAAATGTACGTATTGTGGTCCCCCCTTTAATGTGCTAGTTTCTCATTTCAGCCAATACATTCCACAATATATCCTACTGGAAGTGATTTGTCATCTGCATGTGTTCCCCAAAACAGATCATAACTAACCAAATATTTGCAATCGCTACTAAAAGCTTATGTTTACTTTACTTGGAAAATGTTTTGATAAGAAAAAAAGCACTTTCAGTGAGTCACGCCTTCAAATGAATTTGCAGAAGGTTCTAACACTGCCTGATGTCTTTGGTCAATTTCTTATAATTTTAATAATAACAATAAATAATGACTACTTGTAATGAAATAAGTAGTGTAAGTTTTGACAGTCTTCTTACCTTCTAATTTCTATCCTAAGAGATTCTAAAAATAATTTATATAATAAACTAATGAAACAATTCTAGATCCAAATAGGGCAAAAAATATATTTTATTCACATCCGAAAGAATAACACGCCAAAAATAGAAGTTTAATACAATATGATGAATACTATCATTTCATCCCATTTCTCAAAAGAAATGTCAAATATTTTGGATTGAGACAGAATATACTTCATATCAGCTGCATTTTAATTTCCTACATTTGTGTAATGACATTTTTTTTTAAATTTCCAAAAATCAAAAATGTTAATTTTAGTTTATGATAGAGATAAGCTATATTTCTGTATTGCAAAACTAGCTTGATGAAGGTGAACAAAAGAAGAAAAAAAATTCTTGGGAAAATGTATAAATACAAAAAATTAATTTTTTTGGAAGATATTTTAAAATATATTTCAATAACTAATTGAAAGAAAAATAATTTGTTAGACATATTAAAAACAAAATTTTTCACTGTGAAAGAATAAATGTTTACTGGAATTTATGTCATTTTTATTGTTATTATTGCATAAACATGTGTTAGGCAGTACTCCTCAGCTTATTCATTTCTTTAGTAATAGGTTTTAATCTTTTTAACTGACTAATATGATAATTTTTCTTCTGCACACATATTTTTATTGTTTACTTAACCGGAATTTAAGTTATAAATTTCATTCTGTGAAAGGAGGAGGATGAATCTTAACTTATCTATTTCTCTCTAAGAACCAGTTAAAGACAAAAAGTCAAATGTGTGTCCTAATAGAATTTTTGTTAATACAAGAAAGAAAATAAGACACTTGCATAGATTTCTTGATGCAATTCAAGTAATAGATCTAAAAGTGCAAGACTACAAAAACCACGGGATCTTTGCCGGGAAATTTATTGGGCAGGATGTCTGTGGCTGTTCTAAAAAGCCACATCTGGCTTTGTGTGCAGCACGGGACAGGGCAGTGTGCTCCGCCTTGGGATTCTCAGCAGTGACTTCTATTCTATTTAAAACACTACACTATCGCAAGTTTGCTACTAAACTATTTGGGGATTGGCACCAATCTCAATTAAACATGCTACTTCCTTTCAAAGTGACACAGAGTTACTCCTTGAGATTTGTTAATAGCTCTTATTTTCAACAATATTAATTATAAAAATAATAACAAAAAAAAAATTATTTTGGCATTTATGTTTAAAAAAGAAATACAAATATATACAAAGTAATACAAATATCACAATATGTGCAAATAGATTCAATTTAAATTTAGAAGTACTTGAGTAAACTTCAAACTTTTCATTTTTGTTGATTACGCAATTGAACAGGGAAATTATTAAGATATACTTAAGATTTTAATACAAAACCAACTAACAAAATTATATTTTTCAAGATAATAAGAAAAAAATAATTTATCTTAGTAATTCCTAGAGTTCTTAAAGAAACTTTTGGAAAAACTCTTACTTTCAAATTACTAAATAAAACATTTTAGTTGGAAATATACATTTTTTTAAGACTGGTGCCATGGAGCCAAATATTATGACTGTGAATAACATTCTAATTCACTTAACTGTTTCAAATGATTCAGTGCAACCAGGCGAGAGAAAAGAAACACACAAAACAGCAACAAAAACAAAAAAAAAAAAAGAACATACATTTAATGGAAGTATAAATATTTTCAAATTATTATATAAGAAATAAAATTATTTTATTTGTAGAAAGCTCAAGAAGACACCAATCAGGAATCAATAGAATAAAGAAATTGATTACGATAATTATTATATTTTCACATTCTCACAATCGTAATATCTTTTCATACTGGTTACATTCACATTTGACAGTTAAATGTTTCTGTATTGGTATGTGAAAGGGAGGCAAGACTGGGTATTGACATTATTCTGTCAGTACACACCCTGCCCTGGGCTCTGTCGGCTCAAGCCCTGCGCACTGCTAGATGTCCTCAAGGACCGGTCCAGATCCCCTGCCACACACAAACCATCACCACCCTATCAGCTAACAAAAATGGAGTTCTCAAACTCATAAGGGGCCTTCCATTCACAAGATCACCACTTGAAAAATCAGGAAAACATATCTCAAAGAATTTACAGCAATTGTAATGTGTGTATTGAGAATGTCATTGTAATTCTTAATAAATATGTAAATAAATAAATAAATAAATAAAGAAAGAAAGAAAACCCCACTTAAAGCAAAAAACCCAAACCCAGAATGACTCTCTTCTCTACTAAACGTTGCTAAATAAATTAATTATTCATGTAAAAGTGAACTTCAAAATAGAAGCATAAGGAATATCTGATTCTGTTGTGTGATTGTCAGAAATATCATACTTATTAAAGTAGGAAAGAAAAGGAGAGAAAAATCAGCATGAAAGTGATGAAGTCATTCATGGAAGACTCCTAATAAAGTGTGATACTCTGAACAAATGGAGAAACATGACAATAGCAAATTCACTCGCCTTAGAACTAAGCAAATATATACACAATGCACAATAACTGAAATATGAACTAAAAATAGTATTTTCATGTAACAATATTTAATTCAGAGTTCAATTAGATAAGGCATTCTTTCTAATTATTATTAAAAAATGCTTCTTTATAACTTTTAAAATATTGTTATTAATATCGGATATTTCTGGACATTTTTGTGAATATGACTATTGAGTATTGCTTAAACAAAAGCATTGTGTGTTTTGGTGTATTCTACAAAATTAACAAAAAATTAACAATTCTCTTTCTAAAATTTTATATCTCTTCTAGGTTATTAAACTTTTTTCTTATCTTATTGTATCTTCTGTAATCTTTTCTTTCTTATTCACTGTATATTTACATTTTTAATTTAGGCATAGTAAATGTATACCCATATTTAAGGAGATGTTCCATTTCTTCCTTCCAATACACACCTTTTGGTACCGGTACCTTGAGCAAAAATGACATTGAAGATCTTTAATAAGCATGAAGAAATATGAAAAAGATAGGCCTATTTACGATGATAACAATGAACGTAAAGAAATGGTCAGTTGATTTATTTATTTCAATTTATCCTCTTTTGAATAATAAAATATTCTGAAAAGAAAATATCTATAAAAATCATTAATACACAAAAAAATTCCCTGTACAAACACCCTTATAATGAACTAATTCTGAGTGTATAAGTCAATTTAGGGCCAGTAACTTTTATTAATCCTGTGTTTTTCATGCATTGGATATGGAAAATAATTAAGTCTTTAAACTTTATTTATATAGTAACTTTTTCATTCTTCCTATCACCCACCAGTTTTGGTCTGCTAAGAACAAAAAGGCTCAGTGGATGACTTTCTGACAAGATGCTATTATGAAAAGTTCCACACATTGAGTTATTTAAGGGAAGGAGCGACACACCACAACACCCTTAAGGCAAGGGGAAGGAGAAACATCACAATTCTCTCTCCTGTGAGATGTTTTCAGGATCAGCAATATTATAATTTGATATAAAAATTTGAAACTACTGTTGAGAGACACTGAATGTAATTTTGTAAAATAAAAACTCCAAACATATAAAATAAAAATGAAAAACATAATAAAATATATAAAACTTAAAACAAACCAATGAGAAAAAAAGGAAATCTAAATAAATATAAATGATGCAAATGATGCAAAAAAATTTTAATTCTGAGACTATTTTTGTCATGAAGGGAATCAAGAAAATAAATAGAAAAAATGAATTCAAGTGACTAATATTTTTCATGGCAAATAATTACTTCTGTATAATTATTTAAGAACTAGAAGGAAAAAAGGTAATTAATTGACATTGTAAACAAATAAACAATGGTAGTTTACAAAAATTATACAGAGTGTTGACTAGTTAATTGCCACCATATGCTACCTTTGTAATTATCTTTGAAAAAACTGACTTTCTGAAAATAATATAATATAAGAAATTTGTTAAGCTCTCATTAAGCACTAAGTATAAAGTTCAAATCTCATTTCTATTATGGATATCTTTTATTTTCATTGAAACATAATAGTCCACATTATCTCAGTTTTCCTAATTCATGCATCAAACTTTCCACTAAATGGCATGAAGAAAAACAAAAGAATTCCATTAAGCTTTTTTGGATATAAACAAGGGAAAAACATGATTCACTTTCATGGAAGATGACAATTCTTTCCATGCTTCAAACAAATTTTGAGTATCAATATTTACCTTTTCTAAGGGGTCTGGTTGAGAATTTAAGGCGTAAAGCTGACACGAAGTGATAGAAGTCAGCGCTGATTTCTAGTTCTTCCACTTACACACATTGGAGATGATATGTAAATTATGGTGTATTTTATGTTAAAAACAAGGTGTTGGGGTCTGTGTAAAACATTCTGTTAAAACACTTTATGTGACACTTCAGAAAGCCTTTCATTGGGTTTCAACTAACTCAGTTTTTGTCCTGGGGTACACGAATTGGGAACAGGAAAACACAGATCAAAAATTGACAAGAAAATGAACACTGACTTAAAATCAGGTGAGAGAGTAACAAAACAAAGTTTAATGAAGAGAATCCAAAGAAAGTAAATTCACAATGAGCACTAAATAGGTTCATCTCTTTTGTGACTCTGACTTATATGACAGGAACTTTTCTATCTTTGAGTTGAAATAATTACTTGCTATATCTATTTGTTTTGGATTTTGTTGGGGTGGTAGGGGTAGTGGGGGTGGTAGGTGTGTCACAACCATTCTCGTTGATACTTTCTGACAGACACAAGGGCTGTCCAAATGGCCTGGTTCCAATTCCAGATCCAGGACTCCGGCCTGCAAACCATGTTGTTTGTCATGTACATAAATCAGCTTATTACAAAATTTGTTATTAATTTTAACTCTTTTACTCATTAAAATCTCATTATACCATTTACTCAGAGAAAATTCTTAAGAGTTGCAATTCATATTATAACTCAATGAAAAAGCTTCTACAGAAATGTTTGAAAGGAGGATTTTTAAAATAATATTTTTTATAAGATTCCATTCCAATATTATTTTAATATTGGTTGATCAAGAAATTTTAATTTTAGCTTTCATAATATTACAATCTAATTTGTGGAATATTCTTTAGAAAATAATTCACACTGTTAGTAAACAGAGTTTTTGATTCACAAAAAATGATAGAATATTACTGTGAAAGCAGATTTATGAGTTTTGTAGGTCAGAATAGATGAAACTGCATTAATCTAAAAAGCACACAATCAGCACTGATCCGATAACTAATTAGTAAGAAAGAATGACACACATACATGCCTGTTGGATTAGAAAATAAATCATTCTTTTTAGTATTTCTCTTGGAATCATTTAGCAAGACAATGCATTTTGCACTTATCATAGGATAGTCATCTCAATAGGAAAAATATCTTTTGCCTTACTTTTAAAAGAATGAAGAGATGGTAAAAAAATGTTAACACTTTATTTTTTGGTTATTTGAGTTAACGGCAATGAAGAAAGTTTTACAGATAAAGAAAACTGAGCAGAAAGAAATATCCACTTCTCAACTTAATCCTGCCTCATAAAATGACATTAAAACACAGTTTCTTGAACTTGTTTTAGCGAACTATTTAATAAAAATAAACATTAAGAAAATGTGGTGTAGTTACAGCTCGGAAAGAAAAATATGCTGTATAAAAAACTTACTCTGATAAGATGTAATTCTAATATTTTGAGTCTCAAAAAGAACTGTTCATCAAAAATTGTATGGTATGTGGTAAAAAAATCATGGAAATTGAAACATCCCATTGAATCAGGTGCATCAAGCCTTCACAATTAAAGACATCTTTGAGACTAAAAACAATAAAAGGGATTGAAGGAAACATTTCCATGTCTGTCACTTTTAAGAGATTTCTTTGCATGTTACTTCTGTGTCAACTTCAAATCCTTCTTTTAAAATAAACAGTGTTTGCCTGAGTAAGTCTTATAGTCAGGATGTTATGCTAACTCATCCCACATTCCTGAAAGGTTTTTCATGGCATCACAGCATGGACACACGACTGCTTTGTGTACAACAATGATCTTTGTAACTCTTGATCATTGTCCCACACAAAGATGCAAAGTAGGATGACAGCAATGAAGATGGCAGAGAAAAGAAATGAAGAAATATGAGAAACACGACATTCTTTACATATCCCGAATTACAGGGGGTTTAGATGAACAGTCTAGGTTTACATCTTCCATGTACATTTTATTCCTTTACACATTGATTACTTGAAGCAAAGTGAACTATTTAAGCTTGGCTTAGTTTCCTCTCAGACATTGCATTTATTATGAGAGTAAAGCTCTAGACAAGGAATACTGGAAAAGTAACAGAGAAATGATGTACCTTCATTGTCATTACAAATATCATTCTATATCTTCTACAATCTAAAGGCATTGGGGCTACACACTCAGTTTAGTCTATATGTACACCCTACAGGTCTATACAAGACACTGGCTTCTGTCAACTGGCTGTTGCTGGGATATGTGAAGCCTGCCACAGTAAGTAAAGCATACACACATAGAGAGAAGAAATATATATTACAAAGAATAAGTGCGAAAGTGGAAACATCAAAGAAGCTCAAGAGCATAAGAATAAAGTGGAAGTGAGATCAGAGGTAGTGGTTAGAGTGAGACAAATTATGCAAGTCTAGTGTGGCATGGTTATTTAATACATTTATTTCAATTGTATAGAAGTATTCATATTTTCTATCTATGTATGCAACTTTTCCAATTTACTTTTAACCATTTAATTTTCCTCTCATAAAAATATCCACACCACAAATACATAAACAAGAAGAGAAGCAAACATAGAAAGCAGGAAAGTATCAACATAAAAATAGGAGTGAATTCAATGCTCATGAAACTACCAAATGAAGTGACTAGTTAATTTTGAGATACTAAGTTTTCATGTTTTTTAATAATTGTTTAATAATTTCATTCATAATATTTGAAAGTTTATTTCCAAGCAAGACATTGGTGGTACAAGAGGTTAAATGGTAATAACACAAACAACATTCTGAAACAAATTTTAAACACAAAATATGTACATATTTTTTCATCACAACATGATGCATGAAAAGAGTTAATCCTTTTTTATTATAATGAATATTAAAAAAAAAGTATAACAATTAAATGTATATATCAAAACACCTTGCTTTACAAATAGGCACTTTCTTCTTACTAATAAACTACTTACAAATATTTCTACTGATGAACTTTTCTAAATCCT